ATTTATCGTTCTGTGCCTGGCTTATTTTACTGAACATAATGTCCTTCAGGTTCATCCATGTTGTCATAAATTACAGGATTTCCTTCATTTTAAGGCTGAATAGTATTCTGCTGTATATATGTACCACATTTTCTCTAACCACTCCTCCACAACTAACTAGGGCAGTTAGAATTACGAAAAGCTGATCATTTTCTCTCCTCCTCAACTTCCTTCTCCTTAAGCTCTTGGATCTACCATTCACAACTCAATATTTGTTGAATGTCTGTAATGTGCAAGGAACTAAGTTTGGTGTTGTGGAGAATACTAAGGATGAAAAAAACCATACATCATGCCCTTAAAGATCATAAAAGCTATTAACAAAAAGAGAAAAGATGTTTAGAAATAACTATGATACAATGGAAGGAGGAAAACGGAGGAAGGGAATTAATATCCACTGAGTGCTTGCTATGTACTAGGTACCGCATTAGATGTTTTACATACATTATCTTATTTAATCCTCACACCATCTGTTGAGATAAGATATTATTATCTCTGCTTTACATCTGGGGAAAATGAGACTCAGTGACTAAGTAACTTGCGCAAGATCATAGAGCTTGGAAGTAGCAGAGCCAGGATTTGATTTCTGATGTCTGACTGCGAAGTCTGTGCCCCTCTAAGAGTACAGTAATGTATTAATAAAAAGATGTACAGATAAAGTATTGTGGCTACGCAGAAAAAGAGAGAAGTTACATTCAGTTAAGGGAGAGTAAAGCATCTTATGGAAGAAGCAGCATTCAAATATGAAGGGTGATCACTAATCATCAGGAAAATGCAAATCAAAACCATAGTGAGCTGTTGTCTCACATCTTTAGGATGGCTACTATCAAAAGGACAAGAGACAACAAGGGTTGGCAAGGATGTGGAGAAAAGTGAACCCTTGTACAGTTAGTGGGGATGAAATTTAGTACAGCCATTGTGGAAAAACTATATGCAGTTTCCTCAAAAAATTAAAATAGAACTACCACACAATCCAGAAATCCCACTTCTCGGTATATACCCAAAGGAAATGAAATCAGTATGTCAAAGATATATCTGCACTCCCATGTACATTGGAGTGTTATTCACAATGGTCAAGATGTGGAACCAATTTAAGCATTTATTGACTGACAAATGGGTGAAGAAACTATGGTATATGTACACAGTGGAATATTACACGGCCACAGAAAGAAGGAAATCCTGCCATCTGTGACAACATGGATAAACCCGATGACATGGTGCAAAGTCAACTAAACCAGACACAGAAAGACAGACACTGCATGAGCTCACTTATATGTAGAATCTAAAATGCTCAAACTCATGGAAGCATAGAGCAGGGGCCAGAAGGTGGCAGAAACAGGGAGATGTTGGTAAAAGGTACAAACTTTCAGTTATAAGATAAGCAAGTTCCGGAAACCTAACGTAGAGCATGAGTGGCGACGGATGTGTTAATTTGATTGTGGTAATATTACACATGTGTATGTATATGAAGTCATCACATTGTACATTTGAACATTTCAATCTTTGTCAATTCAATATTTTAATCTAAAAATACACAATTTTAAAAGCTAAAAAATAAAACACAGAACTATCACAAGAACAGAGACTGTGTTCACCACAATTTCACAGCCTCACTGTGCCCTGTGCATAGTAGGGGCTCAATAAATACGTGCTGAATGATTCAATGGCATTTTGACGTCAATATGAACTAATGAACAAATATCACGGTGACTTTCACTTCAAGAGATTACTGTGGCCCTACCCCAAATCATCCTCATTACTTCTAGTGTGAAACACAAATGCTCATCTGTCTTTTCTCTGATTTCCTTTCCTTATTTCTGCCTTTACTTACCCTCTGTTGATACTTGTTATTTTTCCTCTTTTCACCCATTTTCCAAGTTGCTGTGACACCATTTACTTCATCCCTTCCCTTTTTTTCTCAAAGAATTGTATTTCCCTTGATTCAGTGGATTTGCAGCAACACCCTCTCCGCTCATTTCCCTGCCTTTTTCCAACTTACCCGCAGCTGCGAGAATCACCTTTTATTCTTCCCAACACCCTTTCACCATCTCATTTCCCTGTCAAGAACCATTTGCTGACTCATTTAGGTAAATGCAGAGGCTCTTCTCCCTTCCCTGAGGTCTACTTTCTCGTTCAATTTCATACCCTGGCTGTACCAGGGTTCACAGCCCTTGGCTTTCCCGTCTCCACAGTTCTCAACGACCTAAGCTAAATCCACCTAAGCCATCTTCAGCTTAAGGAAGATGATCGGAACGACTCACTGAATAACAGACACGTTCTCTTTTTACCACCAGTTTCAAAATAAAACCTTATTAATCTGGAAGCCCTTACAAAAGAACGTGTGATACAAAAGTAGAGCTGGCTTTTTCACTCCCTAAGGAAGAGTTTCACGCTGCACGATACTACGGATAAGACAATGTGGGAATGTTCAGCCAATGCAAGGAAATTCTCATTGACAGAAACATTTGCACACGAATAACAAGCTGCTAATTACGGTTCTGTCAAAATCTTTTAATAAATTGTAAAGGATGCACAGTCTCCCAACTTAAACATTTATGCCTTTCCCAGCCCCATCCACAAAAGCCTATTCCTAATGTACCTGAAAGATATTCTCATTGCACAACAGAAACGAATCATTATTGGTAATGGTGTCTTAATGAAAAATCCACTGAAGGTTGGAATTCGGGCTTTTAGAAATGTGCCTCTCACAATAATACCCAGTCAGAGGGAGTGTAGATTTTCAGTGGAGGTAGGCTAGCTAAGAGTCTCTGGGTGACATGGCTATGACTCTGGGGTGGAGGGGGATAGTTATTTTAAGGATTAGTTAAGGGAGAACTTGCTTGAAGACAGCTTGTGTAGATGGCAAGCTCTCTTCTTCCTGTCCATTAACAGTGGCTGTATACTCAAGATTTGTTATGACCGTGTTTTTCTTTTTACAGTCACTTCCTTTAGCACCTCATTAACTAATATGCTTTTAATGCTATCTTTATGTTCCATTTTCTAAGTCTTTATATTCATATCTCAATGTTCCACCCTGTTTTGTCTACAGGACTCTTGTACTTAGCAGATGTAGGTGCCTACCTACACCACTGCCCCGCTCCAAGGCACTGCTAGAATACAGGTTCCACAGGTCCCTGTGGCTTCCTGCTTTCCTCTAGCACCAGGCTGGGAGTGCCAGGAGTGAACATCCAGGCGTGACTCTCGACCACGAAGGAAGGGAAATGAGTAGATAAATCAACTTCTTTGTCCCTCAGTGGGAGGAGTCTCGCAGGTGCCTCAGCAGGACTGAGCCCCACTGGTCCCCAGCGGTAAGCTGCTCACTAACGCACGCATGTTTTGGCTTTCCTGCCTTCCTTGTGTCATTTCTCCACTCCCTCACCATGCCTCCTGGCATCATTGCTCAAGTAAACCTTTTATGCCTGAATCCTTATCTTAAGAACTGCTTCGGGTGTGGAAAAGGAGGTCCAGGCTGAGACAGAGGTCCCATTAAAACTTAATATGTTAACAATTATAATCTCTCAAAACCAACACACCAACTTCTTTTATTGCCTGCTGCCTCACCTTCTTCTCTTCTCTGGAGGGCTGAGTGCTATCGGGTGATGAGGGTTTTAGAGAGAGATTTCACTTCTGCTCCCAGTTCCATGGTATCCCCCAGGTGAGTAATTTGTCTCTTCTGAGTCTGTGTGTAACACACACACACACACACACACACACAGCTAGGATAGATAATACTTTCCAGGGCTGTTGCAAGCATTAAATAAAAGCACGCAAAGCACCTTTTACTTTGTCTTCATTCCATTATAATATAGCCATTTCAAATTTAGGGAGCAAACTATTAACTTTCTTCTGGGGGGTTTTTTCCTCTTAATAATTACTTTGAATCAACTTGGAATACAATAGTGAAAATCACAAATAAGGAGAATACAGGTATTCTCAGATATTAATATAAATTAAGGGTCAAACTTTTTCTCATGAGCTTACTGAGATTTGTGGGATTTTTCATTTGTTTAATTAGACGTGTTTATATTAGATAGCTCATAAAAACCATAGATAATATTCTTGTGATCTAGTATGAGGATTTATTGCATGCAATAGATAATTCATGATACTGACTGCAAAGCCATCATTAAACGGGCTTATTTATGAAACAATCTAAGGCATAAATAGCATTCAGTATATCAGGGAGAAAAAGATGGAAGGGGAGTTCAGTAAATAATTATATAAGTTACAGGTATTAGAGTGTTAAAGGTAAAACATTAATAACTGCATTTCCTTCTCCATAGCATCCTATAGAATGTAATTAGTATAGATATCGAATTTATTGCTTGTTGAGTTTGCTAAACTGACTCTTCACTTCTGAAAACTCACTTCTTCTTTCGTACTTCCATCTTTATCCACATTCCTCCCCTTCCTAAAGTTTGCTCATTGTCTTCGATATGATTTAGTGTTCAATAAGATTTTCTGTTGAATGCCTTCACACTTAATTATAAATCATGTCTTCAGCAGTTGCTTTATATTGAAAATGGAGAATGAATTCAATATCTGTCTATAATGAATCAAAAGTAGCTAGTAGGATCACAGTCTAAATAATCAGTCTGCATGGATTTACAGCTACATTATTAGTACATGATTAATAGCACCTAACGCAAACCAGTCCGTACTCGACAGTTACTAAGTCACTCTGTCTTAAATTAAAGTCCTGTGGCACTGTTTCAGATCAGTTAAGAGTTCTGCTTTGTATGATAGAACACTGTTAATGTGCCATCTGGCCCAACAGCTGACATGGCTCACACAATCCTGAAGAGGCTCCAAGGGTTTACTCCTGGGAAATATTTGGTCTACTGTGTGGTGTTATGATTACTTGTTCATAGCTTTTTTATATCCTCTGAAAAGAACTACAGAGAAACCTCCATACTTGGGAAAATTCTAATTGGAACTAATTTGCCAGAAAAGAGTTCACTTACCTGAGGACCAGGCTGACCCTGAAATTTAAAAATAAGAAAAACAATTACAAAATTGTTATCCTAAGTAAATATTTTCGCTACCAAAGCTCCAACTAGTTCTGAAAATTTTTACAAAATATCTCTAAAGATAATAATACCTAACTACTGATAAATTTCACTTTGGGGCTTTAAAAAGTCATAATTATATCTTAATAGTTTTACTCTACGCCATATATCTAAAATCCTGATATTATGGTCTATTATATTTAACTACAAAATGACTCGGGCTTTAGCATGCTCCAGAACTTAGTTGGGGGAAGAGAAGGCAAAAGGAGCACTACACCCCACAGTATCGTAATGGATGGGTTACTGAAGGGAGAGTCTTCTAGCACAGACCATTACTATGAGCTACATGCTCAAAGCCAACATAGAGTTAAGGAAAAAAAGAGGCAGATATTTTAGCTTTAGAATTCACTGAGTCTTTTAATTTCTCATTATTTCAATACAATTTTAAGTCAATTTTTCACAAACATCTATGTTTTACTTTGCATAATTGAACCTAAGAGCATTTAAAAAGGGTCTAAAAGATCTTCAGATTATTGAAGTGCATCGTAACTCCTCACATGTCAATAGATTATGTGACCTCTGGCCAGTCTGATTTGCTTTGAATGTTACTTTCTTGCTGTTCAAGCTGATAAAAATTCCAAAGCAGCATAACTGTAAATGCTTCTAGCTAAAGAAAAATCACCTGTGAATAAAACTATTGATTATATATCACCTTCTCAGAATTTCCAATTGAATTTTGTGCCAGATGAGATTAAAGAAAAAGTTCACACTGAGTTAGGGAATCTTTAAAAAACTGATAAACAATGTGCAGTCTCATGGTATCAGCTGTATGTTACTGAGTATCATAGAGAAAAGGTGGAGCTATTGTAACTCCCAGAGAAGGCCTGGAACTCTCTCTCACTTAGCCTCTCTCCAGGCTTGCAATTTCTCTAGGTACTTACTTGTTCTCTAACCCACTGGGGACAGAGCAGATGATTCCTAAGAGCTTTGCCTGAAAATGTGGTTGGCCAGGTTTTATTAATATCTAGTCCAACCAGGAAGGGGAACCAAATCAAAACACTGCAGATGTTACCCCACTCCTGTACCCGTTAGTGGTAGACGGAGACAAAGAGAATAACATATTCATTCCTTGCAGAGTACCAGGCACTTTTGGATATATTATTCCATTTACTCCTTGTAACTACCCAGCATTTTTCAGATGGAGAAACTGAGGCTCAGAGAAATACACTAAAGGTCACACAGCCTATAGATGGAAAATCCAAAATTTAAACCCAAATCTGATTCCAAAGTTTGTGCATTTTCTACCAGGTCATTCTGCCTCTCTCAGTCTGGAAGTTTAAGCTCACAGCTATATGCAGGCTTGCTCAGATCAACTATGGGACCAGAGCACTCTTCGAGTGAGCAGACATTCTAACTTCCCAACCACTCCAGGGCTGCCAGGGAGCGCATCTCTGCTTCCAGACACACACCTAGGGCCAGGCACACCAGTCTGTCAACTGACACCTATACAGAAACCAGTCTAGGGAAGCTTCTTAAGGTTAACAGCCCCAAATCCGTGCTAAACACAGAGAAGTTCTGTATCAAGAACCTACAAAGGCAGGGTCTTCCATGTACATGTAACTGTGGATCTTCCCAGACCCCCATACTGGATGAAACTGCAACGTGTGCCCTCTTGTTCGCACTCACTCCTGTATGCACTCTTCTCTCTCCTCTCTGTCTTTCCTCATCAGCTTTAAGCTTTTGGTCTTTCTGATGTTTTGAACTAATGCAAACTCACAAGCGTGAACACGCACCTTTTATAGAACCCCCGAATATATTACATATCTCTTATATATGTGTGATATGAAAATTAAAATGCAGGATTCTCTAAAATTAGGAGGATTTTCTTCTAAAGAGTATGTTTAGCATAGTTGTTCAGAGTTTCCGGTTCCTAAGGTTGTTCAACAAATGACACACTTTTCCTGTTCATCTTTAAAGTGTGACATTTCTGTCATTATATGGAACAAAATGATTTAGCACAATGTGCGCATATATTTGTACGTCATTATATAAAATATACATCACATTATGGATTTTATGTTAGTGATAGTGAGAACAATAGCAGTAAATGACAGTAAAATTTAGAAGTTGATTTCTCTATAGGCATCGGAAAGTATATAGCACCAGGGAACTCATATTATCCTAATGTGGATATGAATTGCAGGCATACATGGTGTGTGTGTGTGGGGGGGTGGTGTGTGCAGGGTGGGGAACATGAAAAAGAGGAAAAAGAAGTGGCTGGTAGAGAAGCTTCCCAGAGAAACAAAGCACACCTGACAAATTTGGTAACTCCGCCCTAAAACATGGATGACACGATACAGGCCTTACTACTCTTACCCAGGATTCCAGGACTGCCTACACACGTCCTCTCACTCAATAGGATGTAACAGTCTATTCACCAGCAGACGCCTAAAATACCTGTAAGACGACAGTTTGGCAACTGGAGTCTTGTAGTCATGGTAACAGAGCCACTTGGCCAAGCCCGGGAAGTGATGAGAGGAGAGGTCTCTGTGGGTGTGGCAGTGTCAGGGGAGCCCTAGGGTAGAGGGGGAGCAGGCCAGAGCCTTCCAGAAGCATCTCAGAAACTCCCCTGCGACTGAGGGCACAGGGCAATGAAGACTTTGTCACAGACTAATTGCCAAAAGAAATATCTTAGTATTTCCTTAAGCTGCTTCTGAGTAGTTCATTGAGAAATACACGTTTTCATTCATTAGTGGATATTTTTCTAGTCTATTCTAATTTATAGGTAGCGAACACTGTTAATAATTAACTGTGAAAGTTAACTTTTTCCTAAAATATACCCTGAATGAGTAGTTATAAATTTTGATTGAGGTTCACAAAACACAACTTGAGTCAATTTTTAAAATGGAATTCCTGAAAAGGCCTTTTCTCCCCCAAGCAGTTCACCAAAATGTTTCCATAAACAAAGAGCTGAACCTAGGATAATCAAGGGCCGTCCCAAGTGAAACAGAGAAATCACAAAAGTGCTGGAGCGAGAAACACATATGTAAAAGCGAGAGCACCGAGTCCCGAGTTACCAATTTACTGTATGTCAACAGCTGACCACGTGCCCTGGGGCAGCTTGGGCACCGGGAAGAAAAGGACCAGCAGGCGGAGGTGACTTCAGAAAGGGGTGATCAGAACAGAAAGGTGGAAGACAATGAGCCAGTGGGATGTCTGACAGGAAAGTACTCAAAGGAAGTTGAAAGTTTTGTGAGGCAAGTGAACCACAATGGAACATGATAAATGACATGACCTGTCACTGGAGAATGTATTGTTGCTTTAGGCAATTAAAGAGCAATATTAACCATTCTTTGTTGAGCTGTTATCACAATTACGGCTGCCAGAAAGTGCTAGCACAACTCTCTAAATCGACAAAGTCATTTAGATCTCTGACTGGGGAAATTAGTTTCACTACATGATACTTTTTTATGGACGGTAAATCCGTGTCATTCCTTTTCGGATGAGACAAATGCTGTTTTTCCATTTAACACACACACTGACAGGCACACGAAAGTTGTAGTTTCGAAGTACAATATTATTTTGAAATATGGATTAAGATAATAGACTCGCATATGTCTTCACTGTGATTAATTTTAAATAAAAAAGTTCATCTACAAAAACTTGAGGGAATATTAGTATTGTTCACGCAACTCTAAAAGGTACTACCTCTGCCTCAAGATAGAAAGAAAGTGCCTCAGTATCTCAGAAATTCATCATTAAGACACCCAAGTAGGATGATCAGTTTTAGTACACTCACATTCAGATTTATTTATTGAAAAAAATAGTTTTTAAGAGAAATTATTTTGGAACTCTTACTAACTATAATTTTATCATCTCTTAAAATTTCAATTTACACACTCAGATTCAAGCTTATTTTTCTTTTCAGGTGAAAATAGCACCTGTAGTAGGCATCCGTATAAAGCTTTGGAACCACATCAAAGAAACTCCGAGTGGCAACAGGATTGTCCTGGTGGCAGGAGGTCTCAAGGACCAGTAGGAATCCCAGCACAGAACCATCTCCTGCTCGTGATTACACCGTCTCCATGGGACCCCTTCACCTTTCAAGAGGCAGAGTTCGACCTGGTGCCTGTGCCGCGAGTGGAACAGATGCACCCGACACTGCAGCACCAGGGAGCAGGAATCCTGCCCATCCTCACGACACTGTGAATTTGTTCACATTTGACTCTCCAACCTCACAATACCAGAGCTATAAGGTGCTCCAGAAACAACTGTTGAACTGCTGAGAGATGAGAATATTTTGATTGGCCCAAAGAGGGCAGACAATGATATTTTTAAAGAACCATTCGAACAGTTACTATCCTTACATTAGTGTTATATTTTCAAAATGTAGGTTCTCAATCTAATATTCCAGAAAGGGTTCTCTTGGCTTCTGATCACTGCAAAATAAACACATCTATGTCGAAGAGGAAGTTTCCCACTCAGTGGAATCTTATTCAGATAACAAAAATAAAACTAAGGCAGCCAAAGACTGCAGAGGCTTCAGAGGAGGATGTATTATATCTACCAATCCACATGTGACACAGAACAGATGCATTAGAGTTCTGTCTTGAAGAAAAACCACTCCCTAGTTTGCATAAGCCTCTACATCCAATTAATATGAGAATATTATATCAAATTACTTAGTAAATTATGCTCTATAAATATAGCTGGAAGTTTAAATAGGTTATATATTCTATACCAACAACTCACTCAATTCAAATTTAGATAGAGTATTAATTTTAAAAACTAATTAATATGTAAATATATACTCAAGAGAGAAGCAATTAAAAAAATAAAGCATTATGGGTTATGTGTATTAATTTGAAAATGGCTTTGCAAACACTGAAAATCTTCCAATGTCTATAAGCTGCTCTTGCTTCCGAGGACTCTTATATGCTTGACTGAAATAAACACCATTCATAATTTAGATT